AACAACAACAACAATATCACATGCAAGCAAAATTCTGCTGAAAATGATACAAAAACGACAGGAATGACACATCAATAGAGAGCTGCCAGATTTGCAGGCTAGGTTTAGAAGAGGTTGTGGTATTAGGGAAATTATAGCTAATGTTAAATGGATTTGGGCTAAAAGCAGAGAGTACCAGAAGAACCACTATAATGAAACGTGCAGACAGCTGGAGTCAGAAAATCACAAGGGCTGAACTCATTCAGAGTTGCTTAAGCTGAAGGAGTTGAAGAGCAAATTCAAGCCACTGGTGGCAATACTTGAGGATACCTTGGGTAGAATATGAAATGATCCAGGAAGCATTAAAAGAAGATGGAAAGAGTAAGCAGAGTCATTGTATCAGAAGGAATTGGCTGACATAGAAGAATTTCATGAAACAGCATATGAGCAAGAGTCTGTGGTGATGAAGGAGGAAGTTCAAGTTGCTCTAAAGGAATTGGCTAAAAAACAAGGCTCCAGGAGTTGACAGCATGCCAACTGACATATTTCAAGAAACAGACACTGCCCTGGATGTGCTCACTAAGTTGTGCCAAGAAATATGGAGGACAGCCAGCTGGCCAACTGACTGGAAAAGATCGACATTTGTTCCCATTCCAAAGAAAAGGGACCCAAACAGAGTGCGAAATTATCGAACAATATAATTAATATCACATACAAGCAAGATTCTGCTGAAAATTATCCAAAAACATTTGGAACAGTATGTCAACAGATAACTGCCAGATATGCAGGCTGGGTTTAGAAGAAGTCCTGGTACTAGGGCTATTGTAGTTAATGTTAGATGAATCTTGGCAGAAAGCAGAGAAGAATATCTATCTGTGCTTCATTGACTATGCAAAGGCTTTTGACCGTGTGAATCACTATAAGCTATGGCTGACTCTGAGAAGAATGGGAATCCTAGAACATTTGATTGTGCTAACGCGAAACCTATACTTGGACCAAGAGGCAGTCATCAGAACAGAGCAAGGAGACACTACATGGTTCAAAATCAAGAAGGGGGTCCATCAGGGATGTATTTGTTTATATACCTTTTCAATCTGTATGCAGATCATCAGAGATACTGGACTGTACAAGAAGGAATGTGGCATCAGGATTGGTGGAAGAGTCATCAACAATTTGCGTTAAGCAGATGACACAACCCTGTTTGCTGAAACTGAGGAGGACCTGAAGTGCTTGCTGCAGAAGGTCAAGGACTACAGCCTTCAATATGAATTGAAACTCAACATTAAGAAAACAAAGATTCTCACCACTGGGCCAAATGGCAGCATCAGTATAGATGAAGAGATTGAGATAGTTAACAGTTTTAGTTTACTTGGCTCCACCGTCAACACTTGGTAACAGCAACCAGGAAATCAAGAGATGAATTGCATAAGGAAATTCAGCGGTGAGGGACCTCTCAAGAGCACTGAAGAGCAACGATGTCAGGCTGGAGACTAAAGTGTGCCTGATCCAGGATATAGTCTTCGTAATTACGTGCTATGCATCAGAGAGTTGGACAGTGAATAGGGATGATAGAAAGAGAATTGATGCCTTTGAGCTATGGTGCTGAAGAAAGAGTGTTGAATATACCATGGACTGCTAGGTGAACAAACAGGTTTGTCCTGGAGAGACTGAAGCTGGAATGCTCCTTGGAGTCCTGGATTCTGAAGCTTCATCTGACATACTTTGGGCATGTTGCAAGGAGGGACTGGTCCTTGGAGAGGGACATAATGTTTGGGAGAGTGGAGGGACGGCACAGGAGAAAAAGACGCTTCATGAGATGGATCGATTCTGTGATTGGGGTGGTAGGAATAAGTGTGTTGGAGACAGCGAGGTTGGCACAGGATAGAGCAGTGTTTAGGGCTCTTGTACATAGGGTCACTATGAATTGCAAGTGACTCGACTACACATAACAACAACAGCAATACTTGGATCAGGAGGCAGATGTCAGTACAGAGCAAGGAGACACCACATGATTCAAAATCGGGAAGGGTGTATGCCAGGCATGTATTGTGTCTCTATATCGTTTCAATCTATATGCAGAACAGACTATTTGGGAGGCCGGGTTTTATGAGGAAGAATGTGGCATCAGGATTGAAGGAAGACTCATCAATAACTTGCATTATGCAGATGACACAACCCTGCTTGCTGAAACTGGGGAGGATCTGAAGAGTTTGCTGCAGAAGATGAAGGACTGCAGCCTTCAATATGGATTGAAGCTCAACATCAGGAAAACAAACATATTCACCACTGGGCTAATTGGAAGTATTATGAAAAAAGGTGAAGAGATTGAGATTGTTAACAGCTTTAGTTTGCTTGGTTCCACAATCCAACACTCTTAGTACTAGCAGCCAGGAAATAAAAAGACAAATTGAATTGGGGAAGTCAGCTGTCAGGGACCTTTCCAGAGCACTGAAGAGCAATGGCATCAGTCTGGAGAATAAGGTTCACCTGATCCAAGCCATAGTCTTGCAATTCCTTGCTATACATCAGAGAACTGGACAAAGAGTATGGATAATAGAGAAATAATTGAAGAAGAGTGTTAAATATACCATGGACTTCCAGGACAACAAACAGGTTCATCCTAGAGAAAGTGAAGCCAGGTTGCTCCTTGGAGGTAAGGATTCTGAGGCTTCGTCTGACATAATTTGGGCATGTTGCAAGGAGAAATATGTCCTTGAAGAGTGACATCCTGCTTGGAAGGTAGGAGGGATGGAATAGAAGAGGGAGACCATCAATAAAATGGATTGATACAGTGTCTAGGATAATGAAGGTAGGTGTGTCAGAGATAGTAAAGTTGGCATAGGATAGAGCATGTTTCAGGGCTGTTATACAAAGGGGCACGAGCAACTCAATAGCACATAACAACAACAACATGAATTGGAAACAACTCAAGGGCACATCACCTGAACAATAACAACTTTTTTTAGAATCTGTAGAAATTTATATTATAGACATCACTTAGATATGAAAGGTGTGACAGCATTCTGCTTAAATTGGATAGAGAATAAAAATGACAGATGAAGAATTGATGCTTTTGAATTACTGTGTTGGCTAAGATTACTGAACATCACATGGACTGCCAAAAGAACAAACAAATCTGCCTTAGGGCAAGTGCAATCAGGGTGATCCTTAGAGTCAAGAATGGTGAAAAATCTGTCTCACATATTTTGGGTATGTTGTCAGGAAAGGCAAATCTGTGGAAAAAGAAGTGGGAAAAGGTCAGAAAGAGAAGAAAACCATGCACAAGGACTGACACAGTGTCTTTAACAATGGGTTCCAGGATATTACAGTTGGTGCTGATAGGTTATACTAGAAGGTATTGTTATGCTAGAAAGTGCATACAACCTTGGTTTGAGGTGCTAGGAAGAGAGGGGAGTGGAGAAGCTGAAACTCCTATGGGAAATGGCAGGGAAGAAAATGCTCTGGATATAGAAATCTTTCTATAATGTGGTTTGTTTTGTAGACAGAGGAGAAAATTCCAGCCCCTCCTCCTCCCTACACCCCCATTCTCACACCCCCATCCACCTACCTGCTTTCTGTGCTACTAGAACCTTTCTTGGGATCTCATTTAAATCTGTTTCCTACAATTTTAAAGAAGTTGAGGAGTAGGAAATCTGTCCCAATGTATGCCATCTCATGTCAGAGAGCTTGTAAAGAAAAGGATGTGTGTTCCAGAGCATGTTTCAAGAATTTCAAGCCTCCATGAATGGAGATCCCGAGTGCTGCAAAGGTCCGTATTCTGGGTGACTGACCATGAGACTGCAGGCTGGAGCCAGCAGGAGTACTTCTAGAGTAGCCTTTTAGCAATTCTTGAAGCAAAGATGTACTCTGACATTGGAGTGAGTGCCCATCACGGCTGGTTTGCTGTTTTAAGATGAGGGGAATATGAACCACTGTGCTGGGAATGGGCATTGCTAGAAAAATGCCACTTTAAAGATTACCACATAGGGTTGACCTTTCCTGCTTTATTCAAGGAAAGCGACACACTGGCCTGAAAGAGTAAGAACAAAAGGCACACATGCCACTACTTAACAGGCTAGGATTCTAACAAAAAACATTAAAAAATCTTTCCTTTTGTGACTAGAGATAGAGGTGGAGAAAAAAGAAAGAAGGGAGGAGGTGGGAGGGAGGTGAAAGAGACTTAGATTTCAGCAGAAATTCTGAAAGGATGGTTTGCCTTAAGTTTCTTAGTCTTTCAAGTCTGTATCTCTGGGATTTCTGAATGTAAAGAGAAAAAAGCTCCCTAAGGTCTGTCTGCTAAACTAACAAGGTCTTTGAATTCCAAATTGCATAGTTTAGTTTAGGCTTTACAACAGTGGCAAACCAAGCCTTCCACAGAGAGGAGAGCCGGAGGGGGCCAATTAGGAAGGAAATAATTAAAAGAGAAAAGAAGAGGGGGAAAGCCCAGATGAGAAGTCCAGTAAAGAGTGAGTGACAAGGGAGAATGGCAGCCAGGGCTGGGCAGAGGCAGGCGCTGAGGCCATGGGAACGGCAGAGCGGAGGCTGACAGGTGTGCTCTCCACAAGCGGGGACTTGAGCACGTGCGGCAGTGGGACGCAGGCTGGGGTGCGGCGAAGTGGGTGCGGGGAGAAAGCGTCCAGCACCACGGTCGCGCTCAGGCTGGAGAGCCCAGAGGTGGCAGCGGCGGCGGCTGCAAGAGGCGACCCCGCGGCTGAGAGGAGCGCGCCCGCGCCGCACCACCGGGACAAGCTCGCCAGCCAGCCGCTTCCTCTCCCTCTGAGGAGCAGCCACTGCTCCTGGCATTTCCGCCGCCTGCTCCGGAGGCATCCTAAGCCCCGGCCACGCACAATTGCTGCCAACAAAGAGGAGCGGAGAGGTCAAGCAGCTCCTTGGGTCCATTCGTCCTGGAGAGCAGAGGAGGAGACCAGGCTCGAGCAGACAGGGAAGCGAGTTTGGGCTGAGGCAACTGACTGGATGAAGCGGGATGAGAAAACCCCTGGAGACGCCCTAGCGAGTGCACGCGCCAGGCGGAGCGCGCAGGTGGGGCTGCTCTCTCCGCGGTCCGCACCGCGTGGTCCTCGCTCTAGCCCCGAGGATGGGCGCTGGCGCCCCGGGGCCCCGCCCGCCCCGCCCGCCCCGCCCGCCCCTGCCACCTCCGCGCCCCTGGCGATCCTGGCTTCCTGCCCATGCTCCTTGCTCATGTATGTAGGTTGGGTGCACGCCCGCAGGACTGAGGGTGCATGTGCGTGTCCACGTCGTGTGCGCAGGGGTGAACCATGGCACCATTTCTTCTCTAGGGAGAGAGACCCCCCGCCCGCCAAGTTTGTAAATAAGGGCTGTTTCGTTCCAGCTGGTGTTTGTGGGCCCTGGGCTGGGGGTGAGACCCGCATAGGGATGGGCAGGGCGCTAATGGGTTGGGGGTCAGGGAGAGACATGGGTAAGCCTGTCAGGCGCCTGCCGTGGACAGTTTCAGCCTGGGTGAAGTAGAGAGGCTGATCTGCCCTCGCCCTGCGGCGTCGCGAGATCCCTTTGCCTTTGGGGGTCAGAAACTTTGGGATCCAGAGGGCTGGAGGAGACCAGGAGAGTGAGAGGGTTTCCCTTGATCCTTTGAGCTCCAGCCACCTTTCTCCCCACACACCTCTGCTGGTGTGCCTCTGGCTGAGTCTCCCTCCCTTCCCCGACCTTCTTCTCTGGAAACGAGGCTCTGGTACTCTATGGCTGGGCAGTCCGTGGCAGCAGGGCGAGGAAGGCCCAGGGCGGAAGCGAATCCTCTAGGTCCCGCGGCAGCCTGCCCACGGTGCGCCCAGGGGGGCACCCTGGGCAGCAATGGTTGGAGAGGATGTGGGAAGGGAAGCTTCTGCTGCCTGACAAAAGACATTCAAAAGTTGGCTTTTCCTTCCTACCGCTCCTTTTCTCTTCTCCCCAAATAATTCCCTGAAGCAAGACAGGTTGCTTCCGGACATCTCCCACCCATTCATCTTTCTCTGAACTCCACTGCGGAATTCGCAGTTTAATAACCTCTGAGTACAGCAGGCCAGAACCAGCGAGGGACATAGATTTCGTGGCCGCTATCCGAGTTCTAAACGGAGCTCGGCCGCTTTCTCTGGGAACCGCTGCCCTCTGAATCCCCTGACCCTCGTATTGTTCCTAGCCTCTCCTGATTGTCTAAAGTGACGCTAATGACACAGGGAACACTGTTGGCTGGCATTTTTTCTGGACTTGGATTCTCTGAACCCGGGCAGTTAATAATAATTGTTAAAAAAAAAATGCTCGCCACAAAGAGCTGGCCCCCTCCTCAGGGGTCCTGATATTAAATGGGGAGCGGGGCCAGAGCACAGCAGCGTGCTCCGGGTGAGGGGTCTGGGGGCCACTGGCTCAATTGTGCTCCTGTTTCCTCTACAGGCACTCAGGCTCCCGGCTCGCAGCGGAGCTTCCGAAGGCTGTGAATGCAACTCGTCCCTCCAAGGCGCTCCCGCCCGCCCGCCCCCCGCCCCCGGACGTGGTAGGGGAAGCCCAGTTCCAAGGCGATGGCAATTGGTGCACTCTCTACTTCCCTCCTGGTCACCTGCTGCCTGATGGTGGCTCTGTGCAGTCCAAGCATCCCGCTGGAGAAACTGGCCCGGGCGCCTGAGCAGCCAGGCCAGGAGAAGCGCGAGCACGCGTCTCGGGACAACCTCGGGCGGGTAAGCGAGCTCGGCCGCCCCGCAAGAGACGAGGGCGCTGGTGGCCGGGACTGGAGGAACAAGGGCGGCCGCGGGCTCGCCAGCAGGGACGCATGGAGCAAGCAGAAACAGGCCTGGGCTGCCCAGGGCGGGGGCGTCCAGGCCCGGAACCTGCAGGGCCGGCCCCGCGGAGACACCCCTCAGCTGGAGCCCCCAGCAGCTGCAGCAGCTGCAGCAGCTGCAGCACCTCAGGACTCAGCAGGCCCAGAGCTCGTGTCCACGCTCGAGCCGCCTGAGGAGTACGCATACCCCGACTACCGAGGCAAAGGCTGCGTAGACGAGAGCGGCTTCGTGTACGCAATTGGGGAGAAGTTCGCACCTGGCCCGTCTGCCTGTCCGTGCCTGTGTACTGAGGAAGGGCCGCTGTGCGCGCAGCCCGAGTGCCCGCGCCTGCACCCGCGCTGCATCCACGTCGACAGGAGCCAGTGCTGCCCGCAGTGCAGAGAGAGGAAGAACTATTGTGAGTTCCGGGGCAAGACCTACCAGGCACTGGAGGAGTTCGTGGTAAGAGCACCGCTCCTAACAGAATCTTACAGGATGACCCTTGGAGGCTTTCAAATATTACAAATGAGTGTGCTCTCTCAGCTGTGGATGTGAGCTCAGTGAGGTAACACACACACACACACAAACACACACACACACACACACACACACTACCCCCGGGGGTGTCCAGGGCACTTCCTGTACATGCCAGATGCCTTAAGACACTTGAAATAAGTGGTGCCCTCAGGTTGTCAGAAACAGGACTCACCTTTTCAGTGCAGATGTAGTCTTTTAAAGCAAGGTGGTTAATCTATACTTTTTTAAATTCATGATTAAAAAAGTTTCATTAGAATGAAGCCCAGGGCACTGACAAACAACGTTTATCTGCTGTACATTTAAGACTAATTTACTGCCTATAATTTAGAAGTGTTGCCTGTTTTCAAACACAGAGTAATTTACCATGACATTTGGGATAGATTCTTCAGCTAATAGCTAATTAGGGGAGACTATTCATAAAATAGGCCATTTTCCTAGATTATGTGTTCAAGACATCATGCAGATGTTCTAAAAATTGAAAACACAATGAAAGCCATTGCTTACTAGGTATCAGAAAATAATGGTTGGTGTGAAAATCTCATTTATACCTCAAAATTGTCATGTAGGTACGCAGTTCAATAGTACTGCTACTTCCTGAATACCTATTTTGTAGCAAGTATCAAGTTCTTGTCATTTGTGTAGTAGATCATTGACCTCCATTATTCTAGAGAGGAGGAAACTGATGCAGGCAACACACTAAACATTTCCAATGAAAAACCCATGCCTTTACTTTATACCCTGTACCCCTGGTGAAGCAAAGCTCAGGCCCTCACTTGCTTGAGTACCCTGTGGTGACTGCTAGGCTGGGACTCCGCCTCCTGACTAGGGAGCTGAAGGAGAACAACTGTTGAGCTAGTAGCTGAAAATTCAAGGAAGAAGTAGTTGGCCCTTTCCATGCACACTTGGCCTGTGGCATAGCATTCCTGACCTTTCCTTCTCCACTCACTGAGGGTTTCGTGGGGTAGAAAATAGGACTGGATGGAAGAACCCAGTCCAAAGGGATACTCCCAGAATCCCACTTAGACCTTGAACCTTACTGGTGCCATGGCCCATCAGTATGAGTTGTTGGAATGAATGCCTAAATGTATATCAGTCATGAGGGATAGACATGCAGATGATGAAAAGAACACTGTGGTTAAGTCAGTTTTCTGTTCTGGCTTTAACGAGGCCTGGTGGTATGGTGGTTAAAGTGCTTGGTTGCTAACTGAAAGGTCAGTGGTTCAAGCTTGCCAGCCCCTTTATGGGAGAACGATATGGCAGTTGGATTTGGTAAAGATATATACCTTGGAAACACATGGGAAACCCTATTCTGCTCTATGATGTCTCTGTAGGTGGGAGTACATTCTGTGGCTGTGAGTTTGGTTTTTCAGATATCCTGGCTTTGCTATTAACCAGTTGCATGAATGGGGAATAGGGGTGGGGCTATAGGTAGGGGAGGTTGTTGTTGATTGCCACTGAGTCGAGCATGACTCATAGCGATCATATGAACAAAATACGTGAACCTTGTTCTATAACTATAGTCCTTTCTCTAAGTGCATTAGGTTTCCAGAGGCATGTTGTTTAGGAAGTGGATGCCACTAGGATGCAGTAAAACACATCTCCCCTCTGTTGTTATGTGCCACCAAGTCACCTGTGAACCTATGTAAAACAGCTCTAAACCTTGCTCTATCCTGCAGCAGACTCATTGTCCCCAACAAGGCACACCTACCTCCATTTCCCCAGTACTGAATAAATCCATCTCACTGAGAGTCTCCCTCTCCTGTACTGTCTCTCCACCCACCCAAGCATGATGTCCCTCTCTAGGTGCCTTTCCTTTTTTAACCCTAACTTGTAAAATAAGGGGGTTAAACTACCCATATTTAAGGCTCATTTAGATTCCCAGAACAGAGCTACAGAAATGGTTTATTAGTTTTCTTCAAGTGGATTCCTATTCATAGTGAGCCACGTGGGGCCTAAAACTGTGTCCCATTGGGTTTTCAGTGGTTGAATTTTCAAAAGTAGCTCTCTAGACCTTTCTTTGCAGCATCTCTGGGTGAATTCAAACCTTCAGTCATCTGGTTATCCGCCAGGCTTGTTAACTCCAGAGTTTGTTCTCCAGAGACTCCTTAGGGATAAAAAGGTTATGTAATTAATTCCTCAGTCTTCCACTTCAGAACTCATGAGCAAAACCCAAAATTTGATGGGAACTTCATAGAAAACAGGCTTTGGCTAGTTAAGAACAACATTAATCAGACAGGAATCTTGCCCACAAAATGGTTCCTGTCTACTGAGAAGACACCTCTCCAGATCAAGTGAGTACAGCCCAGAAAGCACAGGAAAGGTACCTAGACAGAGGGGCAATGGGTGCTGGAGGGTGAAGAGGAGGAGCAGACCATTTAGAGCTGGAATGAGGGTTTTATGTGTGTGCCCAACAAAACAGTTCTCTTGAGAGTTTAGGGGATGTAAGAAAGTCTGTCAAAATGTCAGAAAGAGTCTGTTAAAATGTCAGAAAGAGTCTGTTAAAATGTCAGAAAGAGTCTTTGAATGATATTTGCCAAAAGCTTGGTAGCTAGTGATTAGAACCTACCAGTAGGACCTCAGAAATCAGCCTTGGAAATATCATGAAGTAATTTCCCTCTAAGGCACGTGAGGTCACACTAGTCAGATTGACTCAAAAGCAACTAACAAACAGTTATTTCAGAGGGAAGCAGCGGTTCCCAGTTTTAACATTTGTACATTTGTAGTTTTCGCTGTTGATAGTTTCATGAGTCATTTCTTAGGCCTGTCACATGAGGAAGAATGAAATATTATTAGCACATTTATCTAAAAACTCCAAACACATGGCAGTGTGACCATTAGCCTATCCAAGATCCCACAGTATCTGTGAGAGTAAGGAAAGAAATAAAAATTCAAATTTATGTTTTAGCATTTTCTTCCTAAGTGTTGGAAGCCCTAAAACTGCCTTGGGCTTATGGAAGGGGAATTGTTTAGTTGATTACTGTTTTGAAAACTGGTAGTCAGTAGGCAATGCATTTTCAAATGCTCTTAGCTTGGAGATAAATAGCAATAAAAAAGACATTATGAAGATTGCAATCTTAGGAAAAATAAAAATACCACTGGTGCTATTTTTTAAAAAATGCTTCATTATCAAATGGCATTTCAGTCTTAAATTTCATCCAGTCATTCTTACATGTTAGGATAGAGACATATGCATTAAGGTTGCCAAGTGGCGACACATTTTTAGATACACACCTGCTCATTCAATATGTGTTGTTACAAGGTAGTATTATGTATTTTAACCCTGCTTCTTATTCCTGTTATATCAGGTAAACTTCTCAACTTTGACTTTCTCCTGACTTTTCCAGTGACCTTTTGCATCTTGATGTACAGAATGGGAACCAACTCTTTGTTGGGCAGAAGTGTACGGAAGAAATGTAGAAGGACATGGGGTTGGCCATGAGTCCTAAAAACATGTGAGCTGTAATCTTGGAAATTTACTATGATGTGGAATACCAGGACACGACAATTGTTAGCTTGCATACTCAGGGCCTTCTGGGTTGGGGGCGAGAGAGAGAGAGAGAGAGAGAGAGAGAGAGAGAGAGAGAGAAATGGAAAACAGGGGAGCTTTCTGTCTGGTGTGTTTTGAACTTCTCTGAAAAAAATGCATTATTTAAATGGAGCTAGATGTACAGCAGGTTATGGAGGAGCAGTGTTGACAGCAGCGTGGAGGCATTGAAACAGTGCTTTAGAGAGGTCAACTGGTTTGGCCTTCTTTCCAGGTGAGACACTTCCTCGTGTGGCATAGGTCCTCTCAGCACTCTAACAGAGGCCCTGGCCCTGTATTCCTGCTGGAAACAGTGGGTACATACTACATCCTGAGAGAAGATGTAACTGCTGGAGTAAGGAGACTGGCTGTGGTGTCTGCGGAGAAGCAGATGGGACTGTAGATCCTGCTACAGTCCTGTCACATGCAGAGGAGCCTGGGTGGCCAGAGGCAGCTCTTTGTGTTTTTGTGGTTCTCTTTCTGGGGCACATGTCTTCTTGATGCCCTCTCTTTTCAGTCCTAAGTCTAAGCCTGTCTCTGTTTACAGCAGCATGGTGGGGGAAAGTGAAGAATAGAAGTTTTAACTGATTTGGTCATGACAGAGCCCTATGTTCTCCATTCTTCTGTGCTCCCTCAAAACTCACTTCCTTACAGCTTGATTGGATCCACCCAAATGTCACCAAAAGCCTTGACACAGTACTGATCAGGTTCTGATAATTAGTAGGGTCAGATCCTCCTTTTCAAGAATGTCTATTTAGATTCTACATCCAATAGTAAGTGGGGTCATGTTATACGAGTTCCTCTTCAGCTTACACAAGTAGACATGCAACTCTGAGTAAAGAAGTCTGGCTTATGTGTCCTTATTTCCCTTTAAATAAATGAATGGGGCAGGAAGAAGGGTATATCCGTAAGTATGATTGGTAAAAAGTTAATAAAGAAGGTCAGTGTTATTGGTAATAAACAAAATGCCAACTAACCATAGTTAAGTGCTTCCTTTAATCCATTCTGATTCTATGTCTGCTTGATGCTGATTGAGGTTTGAGGAATGCTATTGCTCATTTTATTATGGAAAACAAAAGAAGAATGTGAGGGGGCTCTGAGAAGTTTAGTATTTCTGAATTTCCCTAGCTCCTGGTTTAGGTCAGCGGAATATAAAATTTAAAATGCATAAAAGGATATTATTCCATTTTGAACAAAACTCAAGTCATTCACATCCTGAGGCTCTTGGTCCTGTCAGGAACTGTAGGGTTAGAGCTGGGATCTGCAGGTTTGTTTTATTGTTTGCAGAACCAAAATAGGATTTCTGTAGTTCTGTAGATAAGGCCACATGGCTCCCTGAACTGTCATATCTTTTCCTTTTTGGTTGGGATGTCATTTCAGTCTTTCAACATTGATTATCACA